CTGGTATGTTGGGTTGAAATGCACTTGTACTGAGCAAGGAAGAGCCCGAACCATGATGTCCACTCTCCTACTGCATGAGCGCTGTAGTACGTGATGGTGAGGGGGAAAGACAGTGAAAGGGGGCGACAAATAGAAATGGCTCTAGACACCAGCGACCGGTGCCAGACGCCTCAAGTGTACCATTGAATGTATCCTCAGTTTCTTACTTCTCTGTGTCGTCACAAAACATGATCAATGAAAGACTCTTGGCCATGTTTGTGTGTAGAATAAAGGGATGGCAGGTAGTGTTGAAAAAGTTGCAGTAACTTAAGATCTTGGATGGTCACTAATTAATACAATTTTACCTACGAACAAGAGTTTTTGAGTTACCTGACATGCTAGCTAGCTGAAGGGTTTCCTGTTGTTACTGGCTGCAAATGGGTGCTGCAATAGAATATACTTATGGTGTTTTGTACAAATTAGGTAACTATATTCAAACAAATGTGCGTAATGCATGTAAGCCTCATTATGTAGTGAAACATGACTCATTTGAACCAACAATGGTCTTTCTCACGGAGAAGTAATTATTGCATCAGGATCTACATTAAGGCTAGATGAATCTGAACAGGGAGTGACATGGTAGGTATTGTTGGTAATGGTAACGAATGCTTGACATTCGTGAAATTGCTCACTTATGAACACAATTTAAAACTGCTTAGAAAAGGGTAACTAATATATATTCATTGGCAAATAGCTTGAGTTTTATTAGCCTCTGGGTGAAGAAGAAAGGTTTTCCTTTGAGAAACATTTATGCACTCAAATACAACTGCTTGAGTCCAGTTGGGTTGTTACAGATCAAGAAGGGTAGCGACATTGACTATGAATCCTGTAGCGACCAGGTAAGAAAAACAAGAGAGCCGACCAAATTACCCTGAGTCAATCAATTTAAACTGGAATATTAGAACCTTAAACAACTGTTATTTAATTTTTAAGTAAAAGAATCTAGCCTTATTTTATTACTATTTTTGCAATTTGATTACATGATAAAGACTGGACCTATAACCATTGACTATGTTTTATCTATGCCATATAACTCACTGAGCCAAAATAAGTTTTATTTGAATCTGCCAGTTTCTTTTATGCTATAACTCACTGAACCTCTACTGAGTTATGGCAGTGTCCACACCAGAATCTGAAGTGCTGTTGTCACTGAGTTTTATTTCATCGCCCTCCCTACATATAATTGGAGAAAGCGTTATTTTCCTCAACATTTTTGACTATGAGTTATTTATGGTGGACATATCTATTTTGGGCCCCCTGAACCTAAAAAGTGATGTCTGTGTGTGGATGTGTACAAAGCTACAGACAACACCTGTGGTCTGATTTTGATGAAATTTGGTATGTGCATGGATACTTTTCCAAGGTATCCCCAGGCTTTAAAATTTTGATTTTTAATATTGATTTTCTCGTGGAAAATCTAATTTTACAATAACAGCTCTAACTGTTAAAGTGAAATGTAGCATGTTATATACAGTCCTTTTAACTCTAAACAAAATTATACAACCCCCATTGCTCTAAAAATTATGTTTGAATGTTTTTACAACTGTTGTGCCTATACCCAGTAAATATCAATGTTATTCATGTTATTCCCAAAGCTTACACATACATAGTTGATGACAAGCCAGAGAAAGTTGTGTTAGATTGCTGATATGTTTATTTTAAGTACCGGTAAGGTAAAAGCCTTAAAGTAATTCAGCTAAGCCAGGCAGATTGTGCCTCTGTAAAATATAGGTACCCGTACATATATTTAATTACCTGTATTTATAAGTGCTCGCCTATAGCAATCAAAAGGTCACAGGTTCGATCCTGAGAAAAGTCGTTAGCTTTTTGATGGTTCAATTCAAAATTGGACCCACGCACGCCTTGACACAGATCATCTCACACCATTCTACACTCATTTTGGTTTAAAATACATACCAAATAGTTTTACCCATCTCAATGATTGGTAATTGATAATAATTAATTGTTGATTGCCTCAACACCGCAGGCAAAATCGGAACAAATTACTGTAAAACATCATAAGCCATTTACACAGTCTCAAAACAATTATTGTACCTACTTACTGTACCTTAGTTGTAAATATGTTAATTGCTGCTACAAGAAAAAGTAATAAGTGTTATTTTTATTGGAATGTACCTATCTATGTTCTAATCTAGGCTATGGCTTAGAACTTGATTAGAAATAAATACATTTTCAAAATTTGGGCAGCAACTCGTGCCAGGTCACTGTTAGTGACAAAATATTATTGTAGACTACACCATAAGTTTACATACACAATAATTATTAAATATTTTTAAAATTGTAAATATTTTAATCTATCAAATAAAAAAATATAAATAACCTATTTGTTTAAATTTGTTGTTTATGAAAGAGAAAGTCAGACTGGAGCCTTCCTTTGAAAGGTTTCTGTGGTACCGCGGGTACCTATCTCCGAAGATGTCGATACTGACCCCCCAGCACCAGTGTGTTTCCAAGACGAATAAATATTGCCAGGGCCAGAGGAGCATGCTGATAATCTTTATTAGTTTATTGACTATAAAGTGCCGCCTGCCGAACAAATCTTGTGAACTGGTTCTAGAAGGCACGAAGGTCCACTTGGGCAAGTGAAGCTGGACAATTAATTTGGCCATTGAGCCGTTCGTGGAGGAAAACAACGTCTACAACATAGCGTCTCAAATGAAGAAATTGTAGCTTTGAATTATTTTGCAGAACGGCCACTGGGACTACACAGTACTGCTGCATGCATGCCTTGACAGACACTGAAAAATCTGAGGCATTTCTTCTGGATACCTTCAAGTTTGTTGATGAGCACCAGGTGAAAGCGGTTCCTATCATGGGGGTGGACCAAAACTCCCCCAAACAGCTGTCCAATAAGGGAACAAAATACAGAGTCTTCAGAGCAATGACAATTTAGTTCACGGGTAGCACAAAATATAAAGCCTTAGAATCTACATGCTCGATGAAGGAGCAGTCCGATGAGAAGACCACTCTCGATTCTTTTACCAGTGGAGACATCTCTTCAGAGGTTTGTTCATACAGGAGTACTCTGCAATGTGTGAGTGCGCGAATCTTACTAAAAGTCATACTGATGCAATTAGGACACGTTCAGGAGCATGTTGTTTGAAACATACCAAATCGGGTGGTTTAGGCTAGCTTAGTTGACGTTGACAGAGAGTGTCCTCGGAGTGTAATAAAAAATCAAAATTAAAAATTATTTATCCTACGAAAATAAATAGTTAAAAAAATAATATTAAGTTGATGATCCCTACATAGACAAAGCCTGTGTGTGGACCGAGATACTTAAAACAAATCCTAACATCGTCCGCAAACAAAGGTCCTCCACATCAAGCATTTCCACGATGGCATTATGAAGGCTATAAAAGAGGTGAGGAGCCAAAGAGCCTTGGTGCACGGCCGCCTTTAATTACAGGCCGCGGCCTTCGAACTGGCAACGTCGCAAGTGGTGTTGTAACAGCTGATTTTTTCGGAAGCAACTAATGGTATTTGTGTATTTACGAAAGATTGATTAATGGACTATGACAATATTAACTCCGCTTACAAATGTACAGATATATATTTTAATTCATATTGTTTCAATTCTGTATGCTTTATTTTCAATCTAATATATAAAATTCTCGTGTCACAGTGTTTGTCTGCAAACTCCTCCGGAACGACTTCACCGATCGTTATGAAATTTGGTGTATAAATTCTGTAGGTATGCGAATCGGACGTAAACTATTTCCCGTTTCGAAATTCTTAAAAGGGCTCCGCCCCAGTGGCTCTGGAGTTTCCCATGTTAACCTTATGAGAAATGGAATTAATGAATCTTAACAGCTGTTTCAATTAAACAAGTTGGTACTGTTCTATGATGTTCAATAGCATTAAAGTTACAAGGATTACCAACAGGGTGCAACACTATTATTTCTTTTACATTTATGACAACAGCTAATTTGCAACCAAAAGGTGAGTGAGCGTAGCGAACGAACTTCAACCTGGAGGCGAGTTAGCGTAGCGAACGAGCTAACCTGAAGGCAAGTGAGCGCAGCGAACGAGCTCCAACCTAAAGGTGAGTGTGCGTAGCGAACGAGCTCCAACCCAAAGGTGAGTGAGCGTAGCGAACGAACTTCAACCAGGACGTGATTGAGCGATGCGAACGAGATCATCTTGAAAATTAAACGTAACGGTACTTTCTTTCCATCGGTCTGTCTTAGGGGAAACCTATAACTTAGGCGATACGAAGTTCGCCGGGTCAGCTAGTATTTTAATAAATTTATGTTCATAAATTAAAAATTAAATCAATAAAGTGCGAATTAATGATCTGATGTCACCTGTCTGCCATGTTATCTTATGGGACGTCTGTCACTGAACAACATCACTTGCGATGTTGCCAATTCTACCAGGCCGCGGCCTGTTGTTAAAGGCGGCCGTGCCTGGTGACGCCTGAGAGTTGGATAAAATCATTGGAGTTGCCAGCAAAGGGACACTTTTCCACTCAAGCACCACCCCCTCCCCCCCGGTAAGATAGTTTTCGGCCCACTTGAGGATAAATAAACCAAGGGTGTTTAGTAGGTCTTTGCAACAAAGATGACGTTCTTCAGATAGTTATAACTTAAACCTATATTTTATTAGGAGGCTATGTAATTCCATAGGCATAGCCAAAACATACTCCTACGTTTTGCAACAAATTGAAAAACTCCAATGTAAATGCAACTTCAGACGTCAAAGCTTCATGAACTACATCAAAGTCTTGATCCTAGTCAGCATTGAAAGGGTAATCAATGGAAATTGGAAAACTTAGAAAAAAGTTTTCTTTGTATACTCTCTCCACTCCTCCCCTCCTACTCCTAAAGCTAACCTAACCTAATAAAATCCAAATTCCAAATCAAATCCAAATCCAAATCAAATCAGTGAAGTGAACTGAAGTGAATGAAGTGATCTCGATCTGTGACTGTGGCTTTTTTTACAGTTTTGGAGTTTCGATGTTTCGTTTCCTGCCTGATTTGATTGACTTGACACTGATATGAACGATACGATACTGCTCTCTCCTAGTCTCCTTAGTCCTTACACAATTAAGAGAACGAACACCATTAAGTAATTTAGGAGAGACTGCCTGTTGCCTATTTGTCTCGTTATTATTGTTTGTGCTACGGCTACGGAACGGAGAATTGAAGTCTTTTATCTTGTTATTCTGCTTTACATAGGCCTAGTTCAGTTCATTTATGTTCTTTAAAGGTAAGTAGGCCTAACAAGATATTCAACTATTTTGACGCTTACGATACATGTCACGGTTAGGGTATGTTTACGCATTCCAATATGGTATTGTTTCAAACTCAAGCAATTAGGTCTACATATTTCTTCTGATTGTTTCTGACACCAACGTAATTGCGTACAATTTTCGTGGGAAAGTGTTTTATAGGCCTACTTTTAACTTAGAGTTTGTCTAGAAAGCCTTAGAGGCCTAGGCCTTAAGTTAGGTATAGAGCATGGAACCGTTTAAATTAATGGTTTAAAGGGGTACACTTCATTGGTGTGAACCTGGCAATAACTCCAGCCATAAGTAGTGCGCGCGGCCAAAAAAATTTATTGCTGGCCGTTTTGCGGCAAAATACGTCCGCGAGCAATATTACCGATGATGCCAACAGATAGAGGACACTTTAACGGACACGACAGTATCAATATCATGTACCTGGGGGATAAGTTAAGGGGGGTAAAACCAGCAATAAGTTGTGCGCGCGCCCGAAAAAATCTATTGCTGGCCGTATTGCGGAGAAATACGTCCGCGAGCAATATTACCGATGATGCCAACAGATAGAGGACACTTTAACGGACACGACAGTATCAACATCATGTACCTGGAGGATAAAAAAAGGGGGGTAAAACCAGCAATAAGTAGTGCGCGCTCCCGATAAAATCTATTGCCGGCCGTATTGCGGAAAAATACGTCCGCGAGCAATATTACCGATGATGCCAACAGATAGAGGACACTTTAAGGGACACGACAGTATCAACATCATGTACCTGGGGGATAAGTTTAGGGGGGTATAACCAGCAATAAGTAGTGCGCGCGCCTGATAAAATCTATTGCCGGCCGTATTGCGGAAAAATACGTCCGCGAGCAATATTACCGATGATGCCAACAGATAGAGGACACTTTAACGGACACGACAGTATCAATATCATGTACCTTAGGGATAAGTAAAGGGGGGTATAACCAGCAATAAGTATTGCAATAAGTAGCGGCTAAGCGACTACATAGAACATGGCTACTGTGCACTGGTTCTAGTATAACAGACAATGATTAATGGTTAGTGCAGCAATGGTATAGCAATTGTTAGTACAGTTCTGAAATACAAACAAATGAAAGCGTGTTAGTTAGTAAAGAAGCCAGCAAAAAATTACAATCACTCTAATAAATCAACTATTTTCTTTTACTCCCATAAATCAAATATCTCACAGCTGAATTGCTGCTACAGTAACTATCTGTCGTGATAGTGGAAATCGTATAGTGGGCGAGAGGCCTTACCCACGGGCTCCACCCCTGTTACTACAATAGTATTAATAAAACTATTGATTGGTTAAGTTAAGATGAAATAAACAAAACAGAATACAGTAATGGTAATGCAAACAAATAATAACAGCTGAGGTATTTTTAACATTAGGTAAATGGAAAGTTCCCTTTGGAAAGCAATTACGACCTTATAGGGCAGTTTATGAAATAATGAATAATTTTGCGCAAGGTTTCTCGTCATGACGAACCCTTTTAAGTATATGGTTTATGGGGGTGTGACTTGTAGTTTTCTCAAAAGTTCATGGGTACTTTTGACTTGATACATAGATTACAATAAACATTGACTACAAACTAAACACCACACATTATTTTAGGTAACACCGTGTTCTCACGGACCTACGCGATAACAAAACGAATTTGAAAAACCACCTTGCTGTCGACTCCCGCCCATCGATGTAGTTATTATACATCGATGCTCCCGCCTCGCCGTCGCCGACCCCGACTGCGACTCAGACTCACTGTCTAGTCTAGTGTCTAGTATCTCGGCTCGGCGAGCGCCGCGCACATCCAGCGCTGTACCCCGGCTGTACCCTGCGCAGGGGCGGGCGACTGATGCGCGGCCCGGCGGTGAACCACAAGATCAGCTGTTTCTGAACTAGTGTCATCTGCTAATTTGTTATGTGTACATTTTGGAACATAACTTTGGTGAATTGGCGAGGCGATTCTGCTAGTATGGTTTTAGTTTGATTATAAATATTATAAATACTAACTTAGTTACTTGTATAACTGTGTGGGAAGAGGTTTAACACCAGAAAACCTAGTACAGTATATATTAGGAACGGCAATGCCTCTCCTCCAAACTTCACGTTATCTGCCCACAACTATATTGATTATGAAATAAAACTGTGCTAAACAAACCTAAACCAAACTTGCTGCAATATTTTAAAATTCCGTTTGATAGCAGCATTCTGAAAGGAAACTGCTGTTCTTTAATATCCTAACTAAACTTTCTGTAACATTTCAAAAATTTCTTTCCCAAAAATTCCATGATTGAATCATAATTCATTTGTTCTAAATATGCAGCCTAAAAATTTAGTTTGTAAAGTGTTTCTTGATGATAGACTAAGTAAATATGAGGTTTGTGACATTAAATTTACTACAGACAAGACAAATTGTAACAAAAAAAACATTATGCTATACTTCAAAACATCTTTATTTAGTCTTTAGCTCTCAATTACTTTAAACTAAAAAAAATATAACAAAAAATTAAATTATTTGAAAAATTACAAACAAAAAAGAAAAATATACATAAAATACAAATTATACAACATAAATAACAAATAACATTAATTATCACTCAGCTCCCCTTCCTCCATACCTCTCCTTCCTCCTCTTCTCTTTCGTCGTCGTATTTTTCCGCAATACGGCCGGCAATAGATTTTATCGGGCGCGCGCACTACTTATTGCTGGTTTTACCCCCCTTATTTTATCCTCCAGGTACATGATATTGATACTGTCGTGTCCGTAAAAGTGTCCTCAATCTGTTGGCATCGTCGTTAATATTGCTCGCCTGCGTATTTTTCCGCAATACGGCCAGCAATAGATTTCATCCGGCGCGCGCACTACTTATTGCTGGTTATACCCCCCTAAACTTATCCCCCAGGTACATGATGTTGATACTGTCGTGTCCGTTAAAGTGTCCTCTATCTGTTGGCATCATCGGTAATATTGCTCGCGGACGTATTTTTCCGCAATGCGGCCGGAAATAGATTTTATCCGGCGCACGCACTACTTATTGCTGGTTATACCCCCCTAAACTTATCCCCCAGGTACATGATGTTGATACTGTCGTGTCCGTTAAAGTGTCCTCTATCTGTTGGCATCATCGGTAATATTGCTCGCGGACGTATTTTTCCGCAATACGGCCGGAAATAGATTTTATCGGGCGCGCGCACTACTTATTGCTGGTTATACCCCCCTAAACTTATCCTCCAGGTACATGATATTGATACTGTCGTGTCCGTAAAAGTGTCCTCTATCTGTTGGCATCATCGGTAATATTGCTCGCGGACATATTTCTGCGCAATACGGCCAGCAATAGATTTCATCGGGCGCGCGCACAACTTATTGCTGGTTTTACCCCCCCTAACTTATCCCCCAGGTACATGATATTGATACTGTCGTGTCCGTTAAAGTGTCCTCTATCTGTTGGCATCGTCGTTAATATTGCTCGCGGGCGTATTTTTCCGCAATACGGCCGGAAATAGATTTTATCGGGCGCGCGCACTACTTATTGCTGGTTATACCCCCTTAAACTTATCCCCCAGGTACATGATATTGATACTGTCGTGTCCGTTAAAGTGTCCTCTATCTGTTGGCATCATCGGTAATATTGCTCGCGGACGTATTTTTCCGCAATACGGCCAGCAATAGATTTTATCCGGCGCGCGCACTACTTATTGCTGGTTATACCCCCCTAAACTTATCCCCCAGGTACATGATGTTGATACTGTCGTGTCCGTTAAAGTGTCCTCTATCTGTTGGCATCATCGGTAATATTGCTCGCGGACGTATTTTTCCGCAATACGGCCTACAATAGATTTTATCCGGCGCGCGCACTACTTATTGCTGGTTATACCCCCCTAAACTTATCCCCCAGGTACATGATGTTGATACTGTCGTGTCCGTTTAAGTGTCCTCTATCTGTTGGCATCATCGGTAATATTGCTCGCGGACGTATTTTTCCGCAATACGGCCGGAAATAGATTTTATCGGGCGCGCGCACTTCTTATTGCTGGTTATACCCCCCTAAACTTATCCCCCAGGTACATGATATTGATACTGTCGTGTCCGTTAAAGTGTCCTCTATCTGTTGGCATCATCGGTAATATTGCTCGCGGACGTATTTTTCCGCAATACGGCCAGCAATAGATTTTATCCGGCGCGCGCACTACTTATTGCTGGTTATACCCCCCTAAACTTATCCCCCAGGTACATGATGTTGATACTGTCGTGTCCGTTAAAGTGTCCTCTATCTGTTGGCATCATCGGTAATATTGCTCGCGGACGTATTTTTCCGCAATACGGCCGGCAATAGATTTTATCGGGCGCGCGCACTACTTATTGCTGGTTATACCCCCCTAAACTTATCCCCCAGGTACATGATGTTGATACTGTCGTGTCCGTTAAAGTGTCCTCTATCTGTTGGCATCATCGGTAATATTGCTCGCGGACGTATTTTTCCGCAATACGGCCGGCAATAGATTTTATCGGGCGCGCGCACTACTTATTGCTGGTTATACCCCCCTAAACTTATCCCCCAGGTACATGATGTTGATACTGTCGTGTCCGTTAAAGTGTCCTCTATCTGTTGGCATCATCGGTAATATTGCTCGCGGACGTATTTCTCCGCAATACGGCCAGCAATAGATTTTTTCGGGCGCGCGCACTACTTATGGCTGGAGTTATTGCTAGGTTCACACAAGTGTACACTTCCATATCTGTTGGCACAAACAACCTAATGAGTAATATTGATTATTTGATGGTTTAATTCGATATATCGTTTGGTTAGTTAGGAAAGGTTAACCTAACCTAACTAGGCTAACCAAACGATATATCGAATAATTGATACATCGATCGATATTTCATCTGGTTGTTTAAGTGCCAACAGATATGGAAGTGTACCCATTTAAAGTTATGTTAGGGTGAATCTGATTTTATATTGTGCTTTTGATTTGGCTTCCAATCTTGATTAAATTATTGAATGTGAAGCAGTGGCGTAGGTAGTATCGTGATTATCTCTCGCTGTTGTGGATACATCATCGCCATCTCCTGGAATTACAGCAAAATCCTAAGAAAATTAACTTACCATGGCATAAGCGGTAATTTTCTATCGCCCGATTATTGCAAAAGTGTCTGATATAAGTTAGTTTGTCGGAATCCTTTTTTTTACGATCGATTCTTGATACCGATACCAAGGTCGTAGTATCCAAGTATATGGTACAATATTGAGCATTGGTATCAAGAATCAACACATCCCTAATAAAAATAGCCTATACCGGTAGGTAGCCTATACTGTATAACTTTGGGGGTGGCCATCTCGGGCCCCCTCCCTGAATACCCCTTTTGTGAAGTAAGTACTTAATGGATAAAAATGAACATTCAATCTGTCACACATTTTAACCTACACCTCCCTGAAGTGTAAAATCTTATTAATTTGCTTAATCTAGATAACTGATGCCTAATGATCTGATCTAGATGATCTTTACCTGTTAATGACAAACCATTTGCAAATTTTAAAACTGGAAAACTACACATCTCAAAGCTTTCATATCCCAAACCTTACACCTGTTGGTTAATAACTCAGCAGACCTTACTGGTATAGTGGCTGTGCAGTATTCACCTAGGCCTAGTTAGACTCATGTTACAAAAGATTACTAGAGTTATTATTACAGCTAAATGGAGCCTTGACACCTCTATTTAGCCTACAGTTATTGTTAGGGGTATTACATTTTAACTAGCCTACTTTAGTCAAACTTACTTTTGCTCTATGTAAGTTAGGCCTAACTGTTACAAACTTGTAACAGTTCATCATTAGCAGTGTATATGAGTTAATGATAATTTTAACGGTAAGATACATTGTTTAATGTTTACCAAAACATAATAGCCTTAACAAAATACGGTGATACAAATAATTGGCTTATGTGTCTGCTCTGTGTAATTCCAACAAACATAGAACATGCCATTCACAAATAATGTGTAAATGCTGCTGATGATGATAAACTGTAACAAGTTGGTACTGGAGGCCTTTAATAAACAACCAATGGGCTGACACCATACGTCCTCTGTAATTTGTTAATCAAATCAAATCAATAAAAAAAGGTTTGGTTGTGTTGCTAGTCTAGTGGTTAGCGTCTCGGACTTTGGTGCAGGAGGGACGGGTTCAATCCCTGGCAGTGGCACATCCACTAAACATTTATCTCTCGTAACTCTCTCGTGAAATGCCACTGGCGTTGAAAGAGAAAAAAATCAACAAAGGTGTAAACATAAACATTGAGCGGATGCTCCATTATAAATGCTGTTTTGGTTTGCCGTTACAGCGTTGTTGCCACTTACGTCTTGTAGCTGCCTTGAAGAGGCTTTGGTAAAACATTTATCACGTAGATCTCTATTTAATACTATAACTGCCTTCTGGTTAGGCCTGTCCATGACTTTAATAAATTAAATGGAATTCTATAAGAAATTAAAGAAATAGTTAATTCGTAATCATAACCAATTTGATTTTAGCGAATTTCCCCTATAGGGAATTGAATAAGCTATTACTGTAGTACTCATGGTAAGACCTGGACCCGGGACCGATTTACTTTTTTGTTTTGAGGTCCCTAGAGACCAAAAATGCCATCCGCTCAAATTCATATATCTATCTATATATTAATTACGTAAGCCAATTCTTTGCGTCAAAATTGTGGGCGACTGGGAAGTCGTAGAACGACGGGAGAGGGCTCAAATTAAAGGTCTCGATCCTGTGACAGCGGGAAAAATAGTGAAATTCCCTAAATTTTAACACAAAATTGGATATAACGTAAAATGTTCTCCATAAGAAATGCATTAGAAGCCATGCATTAGATGCATTAGAGGCCGCCAACCTCTTAAAAAAAAAAATTACTGCTGATTTTTGTTTACTTCAATACAGCTGATCGTGATTAATCATCAAACCAGTAAGCAATATTACATTTGGATTACTCATTTGCCAGTCAATTCTGCAATGTACTATAGCCTATACGATATAAAACCAGGGATAACTTTAGGCCTACCTATAATAATAAATACTTTTTAGTTACGTCTTAAAATTTTGAAATCAATTATTTTACTGTACAATTGGTATTATTTACTGTACTCAAATCAAATGAATTAAACTTAGAATGGCTGAAAAAAATTATAAAGTTTTTATCTTCTAACTTAACGGTTATTGTTGTGTTGAAGGAATGTTCAACATGAAATAACTACATTGACTAAATAATAATTGATTCAAGATTGTTGAAAACTTCTGCTTTGTTTTGATTTCAAAACATTTGTTAACGATTTATTCTACACTTTTTTGTATACTTACTAACATTTTTAATTTGAGGTTTATTGTAGTGTTTACAAAAGGAGCATACACTTAGAAATAATAACTGGGTCGGGATGCTAATTTAGCGGTTTTAACTAAGAACTAAGCTTATCTCATCACACCTTTATTTGCCTTTTCATATATGAAGAAGACAATTTCCAATACTTTTATCAGGAAAGCCTTTTTATTATCAAAAGACCAAAGCTACATTAGTAAACTAATATTTATTCACAAACAAGTTTGCTGCCTTAGCAGAGTTAAACCTTTGGAGTAATTTAAATTATTTATTAAAAATTACATCAACAAAAGCAAACAAAGACAAATAACAAACTATTTTTTACACAAAAGATATGTTGTACTGGGATTTATATCTGATATATGTATTAGATTTATTTAAGTTTGTTTATACCGTACTGTATTACAATAGTTTTTTTTTACATTTGAGCTTTTCAGGGACTTATGTCCCTTTAAGCCACTATATTTATATATGTGTCCTTTAGCGCGATAACTCGAGTATAAACCATCCGATTTTGATGAAATTTGTTACAAACGTGTAAACCTACGTTAATTCGAACGAGTTCGCGAGCCAGCATGATCGGACGATGGGAACAGTGGTCTATGGGGTGTTTTTTGGGGTAAAAATTGGGTTTTCTCATTTTTGACCCTAAAAACTTATAATTTAGCAATTTCTTTCCAAACAATTTTGTAGCGCTTAAAAAAAATAGATAATTTAATATATTGAAGCGTTATTATGCTCCTAATGGTTATGAAGAAAATTCCAAAAAACTGTAAATTTAAAATTCCCATGTTATTCTTAAGGAGAATAAATAAACTGTTGTTGTTTGCTTGTTTATGAACATATTTTGATCAAATTTGGAAAATGCATTCATTTCATACTAAACTATTAACATTTTACAAAAAAAAAAAACTTTTTACCCTCCCTATTGCAGCAAACCTAAGTACTCGTTAACTAATGCTATTTAAATAGGGAATAAATGTGATATTTTTAAGTAGACATTTTAGTGTAAATCCAATCAGGCAAATGGAAATTCGCTTAGTCTGCAGGTTTGCAGGTTTGCTGCGGCGGGGGTATTAAACAAATTATATAGGAAAACCGTTAATTTTCCATTGATTATTATATTTTTTTCCAGGTCTGGTTTTGAAAAATGGATGATTCTGAGTGTGGTTCAATAGTTGAATTGGCTAAAAGTAACTCAGATAGCGGGATTGACGGTTTCCTCTCCGATGGTAGCACTTCATCAAGCAAGTCTGATCGCCTTACTGAGACTTGTAATTTAGATAAGAATTCTCATGGCAAACAGTGCACTTCATCAATTAAGTCTGACCGCCTTGCTCAGACTTGCATTTTTGAGAAGAATTCTCATGGCAAACAGTCAAAACAGTTGTCTAAGCCCCACCATTGCTCCCTGAGTCATTACAGCATATCTGGAAGATGTATCGAAACACTTAGCCCAAAAACCTTTCGCTACCTTTCAAGTTGTGTGAGAGTACTCGATTTAAGTAATAACAAAATCAAAACCTTACCAGAAACCATAAGCGAACTACAAAATCTCCAAGAGATAAATTTGTCTTGCAATCAATTGGTCAATTTGCCCGATTCATTTGCAAAACTTCAAAAGTTGCAAACCCTGAATCTGTCTGAAAACATAATTTGTGAGCCTCCTCGATGTTTAGAGTTTGGTCTTGAACGATTAACCCACTTAGACTTGTCAAAAAATGGCATAACTAAGTTTCCTAAATCACCCAAATGTTCTCCACTACTTCAGTGTTTGAACTTGAGCCATAACGACATAAACTTATTGCCTTTGTGGCTACTTAGCGAAGAGTGCCGTGCCATAGAGGAGTTGGATGTCTCTTTCAATTTCTGCTTCGACGATCCCGCTTTGGAAAGAAGATTACCACTGTTAAAACACCATCGCACGTCTGCACTCAAGAGTCTGAAGAAACTTTTGATAAGCAACACTGGAAGCAAACCAGTCCATTTGTTTGCTCTAAATAGTTTTGAATCTTTACAACACGTGCATCTAGGAAATCTCCCAGGCTCCAAGGAGTCAGAAAACTACATTACAGACTTGGATTTGAAATTGTTTTACGATCCCAATAACATCCTAGAACTTCATCTGCCGACAGTAGGACTAGCTTTATTGCCTGAGAACATTGACAGATTCAAGAACCTACAAGTGTTGGATGCTTCATACAACAAGCTGGATTGGCTTCCAGACAAAATAGTAACATTAAAGTTCCTTAGAGAGTTAATACTTTCAGACTGCAGCCTATCACACCTTCCATCTAACTTCAACGAACTGAAAAGTTTGGAGAAGCTAGTTCTTGACCGTAACCAGGTGAGGTGTATTTTTTTAGATTTTTTATCTTGTTTTACGTTAATTTAAACTGCCTATCAGTTGGCCTAAGCTGAATTCTTTTCACATTGTACAATTTTGCATGTCTGTTCTTGTAAGTATAAAATTTAAGATAATTGAATATTAAATGTTAAGTTTTCAGAAGTGATTTGGTTGCTTTTTGACTGCTGTACTTTGGAAATAGCCCAGATCATAGTTTAGCTTCGAGTAAAGTTGTGTTTTACTTATATTTTTCAGCTCACAGATGTTGAGAAGTGTCTTGATGAGTTGCCTAGGCTGGCGTATGTAGATTTGTATGACAACCTTCTGGAGAGTCTTCCTATCTCGCCTGATTGTTTGCCAAACATTCAAATGGTGGACTTCGCTTTCAATTTTGTTAATCTAGAAGAAGCATTGGATAAAGTAAGTACATGCTAGCACTGTATATAAGACAATGAGGCTAATAGCCTTGTGCCAAAATGTTTGTACAATACTACTGATTTAGTTTTTCCAGCATTTGAATAAAGTCACAAGATTATTTAATAATGAAAATACCTTTGTTTAGTAACCATTACAATAGAACCCCTAATTTCCGACCTTGTCATAACCAACTCCTCAGAATATCCGACCTAGTGATTCACTGTCTACTTGCCGCATGTCCACTTGGGGTTGCCATAGAACTCTTGTTAAAAAAATTGGAATTTTAAAATATAAAATAAAAATTTTTTCTGGTTTTCCCAGCAGCAACATCTGGGGTTTCCTATTGATTCATGGTCACCAAGTACACTTTTTACAAGGGGTCAGGGAGTCTCTGTTATTTTTAGGTCAGATTGGGAAAAAAGTCGTAACAAGAGATCTATTTTGGCCGAATATGATTATCGGGCAAAGCTTGCGTTGAGTCAATCTCAGCCAAGCGTTTATTTCAGCAATCGCGGGTAGTGTTTGCAAAGATGCTTGATTGAAAATAAAAGTTTTTGTCGCTATAGTGGGTGATCTTCACGGTCGTGCCGCAATTGTGGAAGGCGACAATGTCGCTGTTACCGCAAAAGATATTTATGATTTTAATTAGACCGCAAAATATTCTCTCGATTTTGCCATGACTGCAGACAATGTTCACGATTTTGCTGTCACAGTGAAAAGTGTTCTTGATTTTACCGTGACCATGAGGTATGTTCTCGATTTAAACAAGACCGCAAGAAATGATCTCGATTTTGCCGTCACCATGGAAGGGATTCACAAATTTATTGTGATGCTGGACCCTGTGTTCACAATGTCGCGTGACTACAGAAGTTGTTTTCGTATTTGCTGTGACTGCAAAAGACATCTAAATTTAGAGGCAAGCATACTCGAAGCTGCAATTTAAAAAAATAATAATAGCCTCAAACAAATACAATGTACAATGTAGCAAGTTTTAGAGAATGATTATTTGTAGAAATTAATAGTATATCTAATTTATTAAACAGCTTAAAGTTTTATATGTCATAAATCTTGAAAAAAATAAATGGCTCTCATTTTCAGGATGTTAATGGAGAGAATCTTTTTAACATTTACTGTCATCAACAAGAGAGATTAAGGTCATCATCTGCTTCCAAACAGAAGAGATACAGTGAAAGGAAAATCCAAAACATTGCGGCCAGTTTTGAGAGTTTAGGTGAGTTGTGGTATTAGATACATTAGTTAACTTTGCCCAGTTCTTTTTCTTCTCAGAAACCATTTTAGTTGAAAGTCCAACATATTATGCAGGTGACTGCACTTCTTACTACAAGCTAATCAGCTTTGCATGCAATTTATTGATAGTTCAGCAATAGTGCCGGCACAAAATTGTACAAAAACAAATTTAGCTAATATTTATGCTAAAGAATTGTTATTCAAAATTTCAAGTTGATAAAAAATGTGTTGAAATATCACAGCTGTATTCCATAAGTCTGTAATCTTTTAATATTATGCTTTGTGTTAAAAGTATTAGGTTTCATTCATAGATCTTGCAGCTTTTAAACAAATTTAAATTCAGTAAAAGTATTATTTTGTTCATTAGTGTGCTGACGATTAGAATATGCATCAGTGGTATGGTATCCTCATCAGCTCTATCTTGTAGATGTGATTGAGGCAATTAAAAAAAGATTTTTAAGATTTATGTACGGTATTTTAAAACATTTGATCACTATACATTTAACATTCCATACCACCAGCTCTTGACCATGTTTGATATGACTAGTCTCAGTGACAGAAGGAAGTTGGCCGCCTTATCTTATCTCCATAAACTGGTGAGGGTAGTTCTGGACGATTGTGACTTGCTGGGACAACTCAATTTTCATATTCCACGACACAACTCACACAGCACTCTTGTATTTACCTCGTTACTCTCGTACCAATCTTGGATTCAATTCCCCACCAAATCTAATGTCTCACACTTTTAACGCCTATCAGTTTGATATATTTAACTTGTCACAAAAAATGTGAAATGTCTGTTTTTCATATTCATTCTGTCATTCTTATTTATATTTTATGTTCTTATATTTATACTAGCTGACCCGGCGAACTTCGTATCGCCTAAGTTATAGGTTTCCCCTAAGACAGACCGATGGAAAGAAAGTACCGTTACGTTTAATTTTCAAGATGATCTCGTTCGCATCGCTCAATCACGTCCTGGTTGAAGTTCGTTCGCTACGCTCACTCACCTTTGGGTTGGAGCTCGTTCGCTGTGCTCACTTGCCTTTAGGTTGGAGCTCGTTCGCTACGCTCACTCGCCTCCAGGTTGAAGTTCGTTCGCTACGCTCACTCACCTTTTGGTTGCAAATTAGCTGTTGTCATAAATGTAAAAGAAATAATAGTGCTGCACCCTGTTGGTAATCCTTGTAACTTTAATGCTATTGAACATCATAGGACAGAACCAACTTGTTTAATTGAAACAGCTGTTAAGATTCATTAATTCCATTTCTCATAAGGTTAACATGGGAAACTCCAGAGCCACTGGGGCGGAGCCCTTTTAAGAATTTCGAAACGGGAAATAGTTTACGTCCGATTCGCATACCTACAGAATTTACACACCAAATTTCATTACGATTGGTGAAGTCGTTCCGGAGGAGTTTGCAGACAAACACTGTGACACGAGAATTTTATATATTAGATTTTGAGTAAAACTGTTGAGTATGACTGCCACCATAGAAGACGGACATTTTTCCCTTGTATTTATTTCTATATTGTTACACTCTGTTAACATTATTTTTGCATGATTAATGCAACAAAGTAATTGGCATGTGCTGTTTTTTAGCATTGGAAAATAAAGTAAAATAAATATTTTTACAATTGTTTTAACTATTTTTGAGCTGTTCAACCTTTCTGCTTGCATATAAATTTCTGGGGACAGTTTTTGTTGTAAGGTCGAGACTGCAATGATAACTTCAGTTAAAAATTAGAAGCAGATGGTCATTTAGGACCAATTGACAATATTAAACTAGGCCTATGTGTTTTTGCACAAATTTTACCTAGGAAGAATTTATGAATGGGGCTCAGGATTTCCTAAACTTATACAAGCTCTAGTATTAAATAGCTATTCCATTATTTTTTTATTGACTTCTTAAGTATTGTTCACATAGTTTTACATGTTTGTATCATTTATATGTTTTAGAGTCTGAATTTCGTCATTACACGAGTGAATCGGAGAGTGATGCTGGCATCCCAGATGAAATCTTCTTAGGGGAACCTTGCAACAACGGGTATGTGTAAGATGTGTACAACCATAGATATATTTGAATATTTTAATTTTAAATGGGTAAATTTCTTTACCGATTCTCAACACCACTAATTCCCAAAACCTCTTGAGACATTATTGCCATCCAGTTAATAAAACATGTTAATAAAACCAGTTCAGTTCCAATCATAGCTATACTACTGTAATGGCTACTCACTCAGATTATTATTTTAGATTTTAACGTACTCTGTGTAAAACATTAAAACTATTTTAATGACAAGGCTTTAGTGTGTGCATTACAGTTGACATTTGATTTTTAGGTTAATTTTCTAGCCCGGGATTGTTTTTCACATTACTTAAGGCTAGACCTAGGAGTTGCAGCAATATCACTTAGGCTAGATAAAATCCATTGGAGATTTAGTGGGATCTAAACCCAGGACCGAAGTCCCGCGCTCTAACGACTAGATCAACTTGCTCTCCCCTAAAAGAATAAGAATAAGAATCTTTATTACCCTTCAAACATTTTACAGTGCAATAGAGTTCGTCATTTGCTACATAATATTAAAATGTAATTAAATATTTCACACAAAATAGTAACAAAGATAATTTTATCAAATTATAATTAACTAGGTACATTGAAATTGCTGGGTTACAAAAAAATATCTTATTACTGAGCACCATAGAAAAATACAGTTTTTGTGAAAATAATGGAAATACTGTTCAAATGTAGAGTCAAGAGAGCTATTAGAAATACAATCTTTACAACCAGGCATATTTTTAGCATGCGCAACGTCAACCAATTGTCTACAAACTCTGTGGAACATGCCTAGAATGTGAAATTGTACAACAGCGAAGTTTAAAAAAAAATTGTTGAAGCTTCATAACACAGTTTTATAACATTTCATTGTCTTTTTCAGGATGAATGTAGATGAAAATTGGGATTTGGACAGCTGTGATGAATCAGATTACTTTGATTGCGCAAGTAAGTTTCAAGGGTTTTTATTAGTCAAAACAATGAATATAATTTGCCCTACATTGAATACTAAATTGTTAAAACATTCTTTAACTTTGATCGTTAGGAGTTGGAACTCTGAATCACAAGTTGTCTCTTTTTAAACCTATAACCTTATTTATTTAAACCTAATATTTTTTTTCTAAAACAATAATATTTACTTGAACACTGCAACTTGAAGTATGAATTGTGAATAAATGTATACTAGCGAATTTCCTATAAAGAGAAAAAAACTATTACCACAGGTCTTATGTTAAGATCTAGACATGGGGCCGATTTACTTTTTTGTTTTGATGTTCCTAGAGGCCAAAAAAGCCATCCGTTTGAATTCACAATAGGCCTATTATATATGTGTCCGGTTAGTACGAAAACTCAAAGAAAAACAATCATATTTTATGAAATTTTGTACAAATGTAAATGTGTAAACCTAGGTTTATTTCAACGAGTTTGCGAACCAGCATGATTGGACCATAGGAACAAGGTTTTTTTAATAAGGGTTTTCTCATTTTTTAATCAAAATATAGAATTTTCTGATTTCTCGCCAAACCATTTTGTAGAGCTTAACAAAACAAATAATTTAGTGTATTAAAGTGTTTTTACAGTTATTTTTTACAAAAAATAAATAAATAAATAAATAAGATTAAAAATTCCAACGTTAACCTTATAGAGAATAAGTAAAATTGTTGTAGTTTGCTTGTTTATCTATATATTGTCATCAAATTTTGTAGATTAGATTTATTTATTTCATACTAAGCTATTGTCATTTGACTAAAACATAATACTTTATTACCCTCCCTGTAGCAGCAAACATAGGTACTCATTAAACATACAATTTTTCAAATAGGGAATTTATATTTTTAAGGAAATATTTAAGTGAAAATCAAATCAGGCAAATAGAAATTCGCTTAGTCAGCAGCTTTGCCGTGGCAGGGGGTATTGTTGAAAATTGAACAGCCATATTCAATTAAGATGAAAATCTACTTACGCATGCCAGAAGGTGTCAAATGTAGTCGTCTTTATGATGTACTTGTTTTGAGCTTGTTACAGCCCATCTTTAGCAGCATTCATATATTTACAATAAACCACATCGAGCGATGTTTGTTGAGCATTTCCAAACACTTTCATACACACAGAAATAAACATCATGCATATCGTTTTGCCGGTATTTTAAAATTTTTTTGTACGCACACATGGAGAGTTTTTCACATCAAAACCGGATGACATTCTTTGGCCTGAGGAAGACAGAATTGAAAAATATTGAAATTTTTAATTTTTTTACTTTACAATATAGTTTAGAGTGCAAGTTAAATAACTTTGATGGTGACTATTTTTGGTAGGTGTGCCCAGGTACAGCCTGCCCCTAGGGTACATCTTTGGGTGGACTCCCCCAGTCAAGCCGAAGGATTGCCAGGTACCCATTAATCAGCAGGCGTCTGGCTTCCTGTTCATTCCTGGACAGCTGCATCAGAGGACCACGGTGAGGAAGCGTCGTCGGGAGGACCTCCCAGTTGTCGATGGCCAGTTTGATGATGCTTGTGTAAGTATCTAGATTTGTGTTGATGTGTGCTCAGTGAAGTGAGCTTAAGTTTAAAATATGGTAGCGCTGAAAATAATAAAAGTGCGAAAAATTGAAATCGAGCGATTAAAAGTGAAAAAAAATTTTGGAACCCGCTATTTTGTTTTTTACAACCAGTATTGTATTGTTTTGTTGTGGGGAGCAAGCTGACGTAGTGGTTAGAGCGCGGGACATCAGTCCCTGAGGTCCCAGGTTTGATCCCCGCCACGAATGGATTTTATCTGAGTGATAATGCCACAACCTCTAGGTCTAGCCTGAAGTAATGTGAAAAACAATCCCAGGCTCGTACCTAGCGTCCTAGGACAACAACAACAAAATATTGTATTGCAATAACTATTTTTTTTTTTATAAATACATGAAACAAATATTTCTTCGCAATTAAAAACTCCCACTCAATCTAACTCCGGGGGACCAATAACCAATGATGGATTTACCCATCCCTCCAAGAATACAACCTGACTTGGTGTTCTAGTCTAGAAAGTGTCTTGCTCCAAGGAGAAGTGGGGGAATCACTGTTGGAAGCTGTTAAGTAAAGTGGTTCCCAGCACTGTGGTATCTTTATGTGTGTATCCAGGAATGACCTCTGTATTTTGAACTAATAACCCCAAGTCATTTACAGCTTTACATCCTAATGTATAGAATACTGACATTTTGATGTTTGCAAATTATTTTTCATTGCAAATGGATTCATCAATTTCATTGCACATTTTATCCATTTTACTGTAGCCTACTCCTAAGTACCAATATTTTTTTTCTTTCAAAATTCAGGATGATCAATAGATACTATAGATAAAGGGTATAATAGTAGAGTAAATATATTTTTAACTAAAAGTAAAACAAAAATTATGTCTCAAATGGAAGATTGTGGACTTTCTGGATTAACTTGATTTTTGTGTTTAATATGGGTTAAAGGGATCTTCCGGCCAAGGGGTCAGACTGTTGTTTTTGTACAAATGTTACAAAAACTGACCCTTCATAGATCCTATTACCTTTTTAATGTTCCAAATGTTTACCTTATTTTCCTACTAGGTGGATACATATGCGGGTTTACAGAGCGGCAAAACATTGATTGGTAAGTATTTTTTGGTTATTGGGCTGCAGGTGCTTTTCCATGCTTTGCCATGTTTAAATGAAAATCACTCATTTAAACTAATCACACAAAACTGTAATTAGAATCGTAATCTTCTGCATCTTAACAATACAATTTTACTGTTATGAGTTTTGCTGTTTACATTGTAAGTCACTAACAAATAGTAGCTAGAGAGGGTCGTAGCTGTAGAAATCATTATTGTAGAATTTTCAGTTTTTTATTAGGCCTATATGATTGCAGAATGTTGTGAGGTGGGGTGAATGAAAACGAGCACTAGAAGGATCCCTCCTAGTGATGAAAACTACTTAAATTATTATTTGATAGTTTTTAAGACATGCTGTTGTCACCAATTATGCTATCTAGTTTTGCCTACATTTTACCAACTAATCGAACCAATGATTTTAAATGGTAGAAAAAGGAGGATAGCAGCTAGCTTACCTTGAAAGTGTGGGTAGGCCATAGAACAAGTAGAAAAATATTGTGTGCAAAATATTGCCCTAGGGACAAAGTCCCTTAGGGGACGAAATATTGTGTGCAAAATATTTTTCTACTTGTTCTATGGCCTACCCACACTTTCAAGGTAAGCTAGCTGCTATCCTCCTTTTTCTACCATTTAAAATCCTGGCCTAGAGCCTTTCCTTAAACAAAACTAATCGAACCAATGAGTTATTGGAAGCTGAAAATGCATCTCTGTACCAGAGAGCAAATCACTTGCTAGAACCAGACGTCTAACAAAAACACTCATTGGTGTGATTTATATGGCAGTGGATGTAGCATGAACAAGCGGTGGGAGTAACTATGGTATTTTATGGGTAAAATCACAAAAGCTTAATAACTTTTGAACCGTAATATTTTTACAGCAGTGGGGGTTGTAGGACCATAAAAGAGTAAAATTTAACCAAAATTGTTGGAGCCATTTAACCCTCCAGCTGCTAGTCGACTCGAGCGAGTCGATACGTAAGGTGTCGTTTAATCTACTTCACTCCGTTCCAGTGTACAAGAAACTGGATTGAGTTTGGGATCTCCGTAAACGTCAGATTTCAGGCTTTCTCCCGATACCTGTCTCTAATGCTTTAACCCATCTGGCTGCTTTGTAAAATGACTTGCAAAATTGACATTATTGCGCCAGCTGTCTGCTGTGCTAACCTGCGTAGTTACCGAGTCTGTTTGTTTATGTCATCCAAAGTGGTTTCTAATGTATTAATTTAGTGTTTTTATGTAAATAATGGATAGTAGTGACATCTGTATGGGTTTTAGTGAGGATCTTAGTGATTCTGACAAAGATTTGTTTGGTGTTGGTAATGAAAACGTACGCATCCTAGGCCTAGGCCTATGCCTACTCTTGATCCTTGGGTGAGGGTTTCTGTCCATAAATGAGATATGATATAATATTTTATTTTTTATTTTATGTGCATAAAAGTATATATTTTCTTGTTCCTTATTACATTAACTACAAAATGGCTACTTTTAATTTTAGTTCAGAGGAAAATAATTTTATTTTTATTATGTGCAAAGTTACAAAATGAAAACAAACTTTTATATTTTTTTTGTTTGTATCTTTAAAAATATTTTTATGGAAACATAACCATGCACTAATATGGTATGTTTTTATTTATACTGAACAAGAAAATATATAATATGTTATGATTTGTTTAATTTTTAACTTTATTACTAATTTCTTTTTATTGCCTGTAAAAAATGCTTAGCACCAAGGGAAAATATAACTAGCAGTTAGAGGGTTAAAAAAAATTTGGTTTTACATTATTTTACGGGCTTTATGAAAAAATCACATCAGCTGCAATAACTTTTGTACTGTAATCTTACAGCAATGGGAATAGTACCATTTTTATGAATGGAAAGGGCCAAAACGTACTATAGGCTATTATAATCAAAATCGTTCATGCCGTTTTTATGTAAATCCGAGTTTATTGTTATTTTTTTCTAAAATCACCGTTAGAAATCAAAATTTCAATGAAATGAAAAAAAGGCCTGGAGATACCAGGGATTAGTACCCACATAACTAATTTCATCAAAATCGAACCCCCACACACATAACTTTGAAAACCTCTTTTGGGTTCAGGAGGACCAAAAATGGATATATCCACTCAAAGCCCTAAACTCAAAAATGTGGACAAAAACAATATTCTCTCCATAGGGGGAGAAAGTAAACAAAGAACGCCATTCTCAGGTAAGAACATTCTCTGTGTCTTGGACCACATTCTTCAATAAAGGACACATGATGGTTTTTTCCACCGTCTTTGATTATTTCATTAACTCTTGTCGCTTTTACAGCCTTGCTGGAGAAGATGCACATGTTTGTCCGGAACCCTGCGGGGATGAGGACTAGGAGACGCTGCAGGACCCACGGTCAATACGATTTTTGTTGTTGCCCTGGAGTGTGGTTTCAGCTCAGCCCTCCGTTCAGCTTCATCATTCCATCCTCCTCGGACATGTGATTGTACTTTGTGTTTGTGTTATTGTTCTCACTGATAGTGTTTCTGTTCTGTTGGTAGTGTAGGTGTTGAGCTAGGTTAGGTTAGGATCGACTAGATTCTGAAGTATTCCCGTTCGGTAAGGTAGGATTTGTGTTTGTCTGTAAGACTATAAAATCTATAATCTCGTGAATTAGAGAATATAACCGATCAGGAAACCATTTTTAGATTGCTTTAATCGGTCAAGTGGTAAGCTGGTTTAGCCACGGTATTTCACATCGGCTATCCCTGGGCTGATCAGATAGCCAGTGGTATAGCCCAACATGAAAACGAAAACACTCAGTTGAAATTATTCTGAATTGAATGTGTGAATGACATGACAATCATTAACAATTCGGCAAAGCCATGTAGATTATTGTTCACTTCAGTGCCAATTTTATGTTAATTCGTTGTGTGTAAACTGTGTAAAGTAAAGGTCTATAGTGTTTGTCATTTTCAACGATTGTTTGGATTTTGATCTATGTTTTGTTCATGTCTTGAAGTCTTGTCTGAATTTCCTTTGTATGAAATTACCTATTTAGTAGAGCCTAGTAGGCCTACAAAATTTAAAGAAAAGTGTATGTTTGTGCTATGTAATTTTCAGTGTTAGTTTTTAGTGTAAGCTGAGGTAAGAATGATTTGATAAATTTGTTTGCACTTTGATTTTGTTGTGCTATTTCTTCGCTAGATTTAGAGTGCGCATTTTTCATTTGCACTTAAGCTCATTGAATGCTCAGTGGGCAGTTTGTATAAAAAATGTACAGTTTGCTAATGCTATGTAAATATGTCTACTACGGAAAAAAGATTACATTTTGTATTGTGTTAAGTGTAAATCAAACTGTATGTATTTTTGCATATTGGAAAACATTTTATATTCACATTTTTATACATCAGATTTGAAAGATGTTTTAAAAGTACTATTTTTATAGATTTATGAACAGTTAAAACTTCTCTGTATCCTTAAATTTTGGTCCCTGTTCTCTCACATGTATCTAGTCCTAGATGGGACCTGTTAACTGTTTAAGTGCTGGTTTTGGTTCTCACTAGATCTTAAATTGGGCTGCACATTATAATGTTATCAATCTATATCTTTCAATATTTTAAACTTAATTTAGATATTGTTTTACGTCAGGCAAATCATGATATAAAAAATATGTTGTTTTTAACAAAGTTCAGGTTATTTGAAGCTTTTTATGTTAAAATTTATTTGCATTGTCAGGCAGCGGTTTACAAGACACTAGTTTGTGTTAAACAGTGCTTGTTGAAACTGCAACCTACATCCTATTACCTCTCTTTACTACTATAATCTCTTCTCCAAAGGATAGCTTTTTGCTCAACTAAACAAAATTGGTAAAACAGCTAATATTTGTTAAACAATATTTAGAAAGAACATTCTGTTCAACTGCTTTCCTTCTCAAATTCAGCACTTCTATACAAACACCGGTTTGAGTTATACAGCTGTTTGAATTTCACAGTTGTTTTAACGGGTGAATCATTAGGAGATAATACTCAAAATTTGCTAACTCTCAGTCTGATAGTATTTTATTAAAATTTAAACAATACCACAACAATCAAAATTTCTAGCTTGTATACTTGATTGCATGATTCCAATTAATCGGTAGCTATCCGTCCACCATCGGTTTTACTTCTATTTTTACTCAAGTTCCAGAATATGCTAAGTAGTTTGCATTCATTGAATTTGCATTCTAAATATCAAAGGAAAGGTACATAGTAGCAACCACACTGACAGACTCTTGGTCCAATACCAACTTGAGAAACACACTGATGAAGAACTGAGAATTTGTATATAAGGGTGCTATATAAGGGGGTTTGTATATAAGGGTAATTTGTTCTAGGTTTACATTAGTCATGTATCACTAAGAGCAACTACTACTAAAACACATCATATATACTGATGATGAATAAGAACTGAGTTGTAAATAAGATATGTATTTCTAAAATTGTTATGTATTACTATTTGTAAAAAAAAACCGTTATTTCTTTAATGTTGTTTGTTAGTGGTTATGTTGTTGATTGCTTATTTATTAAAATCATTTACTCGTTATTGTATGTCTTAAGTTAGTGTTTAAATTTGTTAGTTTATGTTGTAAAACAAAGTTGTACAAACATGTGTAAAGTACAAAGAGACAGTTTACAAAAAATTAGAATGTTCCAAAATGTGGGTCATTGGTATATTTTTTAAAATTTTGTTTTATCGTGTATTAGCGTACATTTTTGTAGTGATCCAAAACTATTAAAATAAAACTTTTGTATGTTTTTGTGAGGTTCACCTCCAAGATATTATAGAATCGGTTAAATTTATTCTGGTATTCATAATTTTTACTCACAGAGCTAGAGATACAACTGCAGGTAGTACTGAATAAGAGAATCGAGAGACGTCCACTTTATATACTACTTGGTTCGTTACGTTATAGACATTATACTTAATACGTTGGAACTAGGGGCTGAATTTTAATCCGAACCACGGGGTTTGTGGAATTGTAAAATAGCCTTGAGCTGACCAATGCTTGTAGTTGGTAACATGTCAAAATTTTCAGCATCTAATTTTCTAGCAAAGTTGCTGTGCCAGTGCTAACTCCAGTTTTATTTCTAGCTCAGTGTTAACCTCATAATTAGGTCGGTGTGACTCATCTTAAACAGAGAATGAAGTTTGCATTGATTTACATTCCTGTAATGTTGATTTAGAGAATATGTGTTGTGTGGGTATATAATCAGGATAGAGTTTTGTGTTAACTCCTTGATGTTTTTGGCAATCAAAAGCCATGTTTAAATATTTGAGCTAAAAAAGGTAGCCTGCATTTTGCACACAGTTCTTAGTTTAGGTTATATTTGTTCGGGTTTTCCATGACTATCTGTGGTTCTCTTTAAAACTGCTATGTTTTGTGTAAACTCATATAATCAAGTAAAAAAAATGTTGCTTAGGATATAATTTATTATGCTGATTCCAAGAACTGTAATCAGATTCCTATATTTACTCTTATACAGCATTTGTAAAGGAAAATATAACAATTAATTTCAACTTTCATTTCAACTTTATACTTATTTGAACAAAAAGGTACGAATCCTTCTTACAATCGCAACATATGTGAACCCTTTGTTTAAACTTAACCTTTGCCTAATGCTCTCTACCGTGTATCCTTTGGTGTGCGATCCTTAATGGAGTTACCAAAATACATTACCATGTTTGTTCAGTTTTACAATAAGTATTATGATTTCGTATTTAGTAAAGTCTAGATTATCTACTCTTTGGTCATCCAAACTTCCCTGTCGTCCAATCTTCTGTGTTATCTGACCTTCCAAATTGGGCTATTAATTAACAGCTGTGTCTAAGGAATGTCAGACATAGTCACTAACAAGACTACAAGATCGCGCCACTCATCCTATATTCATCTCCATTCATCTTGGCTTAAAATACCTAATTTGTATGGTCGCCATTTCATAGAACGTATCCATAATACACATAGAACGTTCATATTAACAGTATCCTACCTTCCCTTTATATCTGACTTCCTGTTTTATCTGACTGTTATCCAGCCTTCCAAGTTATCCGACCCTCTCCTTGGGTGTTCGAGTACCTTGAAATCAAAAGGGTTTTTTGTGTGCACTGTATATTCTTGTGGGTAGGTTGAGACATAATCTTTTTCATTGTCTGTACTCAGAAGATAAGCGCCCTCTGCACCTGACTGTACATTCTGATTGTTTTAGCGTGGTAAATACAGTTACCTTCTACCACCTATTACTCGTCACCTCCCCAAACTAATATAACTCTCTGCTACCCCTCTCATCTGAGTCGTGGTGTAATTTGAGTGCATGAGTATTGCTTTATCTTGCGTTTTTTTAGTTACAATAGTGGTGTCTTAAAAATCGGCCCTAGACGGTGTTAGGCCCAGTGCAAACATTTAATTTACCGTACTCGAGCTGACTTTACCGCATCCCTTTCTATAAACAATGACTTTCTGATCCAAAAAGAGAGGTGAAACCAGCTGCTTATCGAGTAGCGTGGTGAAAGTGTGTTAACAATAGTTTTTTTATTATTTTCTGAAATTTCCAATCTTTCTGTTGATCTTGCTGTGATTTAGTTTGAATAATCGAGACTTTGCTTGGCGGAGGTTTCCATTTAATAATTATTTGTATTTTTATTTTCCTATCTAACTGATTTGTTAAAATGAAAATGGATTGCAAAACAATCTGGCTTGGTCTTACGATTGGGTTAAAAAAATCACATATATTTTATTTAACAAATAATGGAATACCTCCAGCAACATTTTATAGCAAGGAGCTGCATTTTTTTAGTTACTGTGTCTGAGCTTTGCAGTTTTTGCCAAGTTTTTCAACCTGTAGTTGCCTACTTTAAAACTAGAACTAAGTGCTCTTATAGATGGTTAAGAGTTTTACAATTTGTATTCTCTGCAAATTAGACTAATGTTTTCAATTAGGTTAATAGTTTTGATACATTTTTTATAGTGAGAAATTTGACAGAGATTTAATTCAAAAAGATACTTTGGTTTTTAAGAAGAAAATTTTGTTTGATTATTAGCTTTACATTCATGGAAATGTATCCACTGAACTATATACAATATTCATTTAGTTTAAGATTTTTAAAAAAGTTTGCTAAATAAAATATGAATGTTTTGGTTGATAGTGTAATTCACTATAAGTGTTATTTGTCAAAAAGTTGAAAATTATTCATATTTTTAATTTTAAAGTACTTTTAAAACTTGAAAACTAGTAATTCCCCTTTAATTAAACATGCTATACTGCTCCGTTGGTAATACCATAGACAAAAAGAATTAAATATAGACTGTCAGCCGTGCTGCGGTTACCATGGTTACCATAAGTTCGGGCGCACACCGCTGTAGTTTACGTAGCGCGTGCGCTGTAACTACCGTGGCGATCCCAGCGGTGTGCGCCAGAACCTATGGTAACCGCAGCACAGCTGACGGTCTATATTTAATTCTCTTTGTCTATGGTAATACCATTGATTAATTAACATAAGTAGACTTCTTATTCCATTATAAATTCTGAAACTCATTTTTCATGTCCAATTCATGTATTGCACACTAGTGTTGCCAACATTTTGTTTCTATTTGTTTCTACGGGTTGATTTTATGACTTGTGTTTTACTTTTTTGGTTATATAGCCAGGGGACGAGCTATTGTTTATGATCAGATCGTTTTATTTGGTTAAACAAGGTAATACTGTAACTGAAATTGAAAGAAAAAACTGTAAGGGACTCCCCTAGTGGCACCAGACTGAACCAATACAATTGTCTTTAGTTGATCCATAAGGATCTAATAAAATCTAATAAGGGAGTATGTTTAATCTGTGGTAGTACTTAGACTGTTTTCCTCATTGAAGTACAAAAAAATAATAAAGTGGTTTTATAATTTCATTACTGTTTAATTTTTTCCCCCAGTTTATGGTACCAACTTTAAAAATAAGTACAGTATTTTAATTTAAAGCTAAACATCTGATAGATTTGTTCCTCTTTTTCTATTCACTTTGAAAGCTTTTCTTTGAGTTTTTCTATCAATAGGTCTGCTCCTTTTTTGTTGATTTTATCAAAGTCCTTGATTGTAGATTTACATCGCTGAAACCAAGCTTTAGTTAATGGAAACTTGTCTCCTGTAGGGCGATAGACCTGAAAACAAACAAGAAACATTTTAGTGATTAACACTTCATATTATTTACATCAAATGAAACTGTTGTGTTACTTTTGGAGTAGGGTTTTATCTGGACCAGAGATATAATTGTGCTACATTGCCTCCTTAGCCCTACAACACTGTGAATGTTTCATGATAGTAAATCAAGCTTCCATAGCATTTACAGTTCTTTTATGATTGAAATTCAAATTATCTTTATTTATAGCATGTACAAGATGTACAATAAATAGTGCCAAGCTTATAGTTACTATGTACAAATACTTTACCTAAACAACAAATGCAGAAAATAAAACTATAGCTGTATACGTTCATAAACAGTTTATCTATAGAGTAGATGGGTATTTCTTTAAAAGAATTCTGCTGCCTGTTGGTGAGATATGACCTTAACCACTGTAAAGGAGTTTTCATCACTCCTCACCGAAAGTAACTATTTTCGATAACAGCTGACATCAATGAAAGTAGCTGTTTCCCAAGCTCTAATTTAGGGCGAGGGAAAATCGATCAGCTGATTTTCCCTCGCTCTAAATTTACTTTCCCTCGCTCTCAATTAGTTTTCCATTTATTCACTACGCGCGCTAGTGTTTTGTTACGGTTTAATTTAATGATTCAAATCAGCTGTATGTATTGTTCAAAGTCGTTTTCATCTTTTATTATTATGTTTGAAGTATTGAGAAATATACGAAGGTTTCCTTTAGAATATTTTATTTTATTTTATGTTTTAAACTTCAAACAAAAATAAACATAGGTTTACTTTTAGAAGATTTTATTTTATTTTTATGTTTAAACAAATTCATTGATAGATAATTATTGTAATATTACTGATGAGGTCTGATATTCTGTGTTTGTGTATTTTTGCGTTGTGATGAAAAGTATCGTTCATAACTCGTACCGAAAGTTATTATCCGGCACTTGCTCCATTATTCCCGTCCTCGGCTTCGCCTCGCACGTGAAAATAGCTCTCACGTACTCGGCTTCGCCTCGCACGTGAAATTTGCGTTCCCTGTGTTCGGCTTCGCCTCACACAAAAACTTGTGCGCGCGCCGGAAAATGCCACTTTCGGTCCTAGTAATGAAATATACTATTTTTTTTAATTCCAGGATAATGTGATTTCTGTAGCAGCTGTTCATGTGAAATACTATCAAATGCTTTAGAAAGGTCCATGAAAATACCAGCAATACTTTCTTGTTTGTCTATTGATTCAGTAAAATTGATCAGGGCTGTGGTGACAGATTTATCTTTACAAAAACCATGTTGTTCGTCATTTGGAAGACTATTTTGTTCTAAAAATGACATTAGTCCACCTTGCATGGCTTTTTCAAAAACTTTAGATATTGAAGGGAGAATAGAAACTGGACGATAATGTTCGACATTAATTTCTTCCCCTTTTTGTAAAATGGAATGATTTTAGAAATCTATAATTTGTCCGGGAAGATGCCAGAAATAAAGAATGAATTTATCAGTTGTAATAAATGGCTTAATCAATGCTTTATCAGGGCACAGTGGCTTTATCAATGGGAGTTTTGAAACTTTTATATTATAATTATATTTTATTATTAAAGGTTCTTTGTTATAGACCCATAACATAATATTAAAACAAAATTTCTGTTCCTGGTTGCATATTAATTTTTTGTGATGGCAAGTTTATCATTTACCTACATCCTTTTTTTTAACTAGCCTTTTCAATTCTATTTTGAACCGATAGTTTGAAAAGATTAACTTTACCGTATTGTTAGTAGGTCTTTATAAAAATACAAGAACTCTAGAAAATTTATTAGTTGTAAAAAAAGAAAAACCAGTTTAATTTCAACATCAATAAAGAGGCCTACCTCTAAAATGTCAACAAGAGTCACATAGCTGAAGTCTGCAACCGTGAGGGAGTCCCCAGCAATGAATGCTTGTCCCTCCAGAAGTTTCTCAATGTTTTCCTGAGTTTGTTTTACCTTTTCCAGCTGCTCATCCAAGATCGTAGTGGCGTCAGAGTACAGAATTCTTTTCTGTAAATATGTCAAGTTAAATTACTAACATCTGAGTAACCGTCAATTTTATAATGATTTTTGTAGGGCTTAAGTATTTGTTTCTATATTGGTTACCAGTACAGATACATCTGTGCTCAGTCCAACTTGTACTAATTTATAAAATTTTATATTCTTAAGGGGAGTCGCTACTGAAACTAGTGATTTTTAATAAAATCCTTTTAAAAATTATCATATATACTTTTTTAAGTTCATTTAGTCTTAGAAAAAGATTTACTGCCGTTAAAGTAAAAAAAAAATTTTTTTACATACTTTTTGGAGTTTTTTAAGTTTTTTGGCGGGAAAAAATGGGGTTTTTTAAATCTCTTATAACTATTTAACTACTGAAC